ATGATATTGCCCAANTAACTAATAAAATTTCCAATGATAATGCCAAAGGAGCTAATGAAAATCGCAATGATATTGCCCAAGTAGCTAATGAAAATCGCAATGATGTCGCCCAAGTAGCTAATGAAAATCGCAATGATGTCGCCCAAGTAGCTAATGAAATTGCCAATGATATTGCCCAAGTAGCTAATGAAAATCACAATGATATTGCCCAAGTAACTAATAAAATTTCCAATGATATTGCCAAAGGAGCTAATGAAAATCGCAATGATATTGCCCAAGTAGCTAATGAAAATCGCAATGATGTCGCCCAAGTAGCTAATGAAATTGCCAATGATATTGCACAACCAGCTAATGAAATTTCCAATGATACTGGCCACATAATTTATGAAAATCGCAATGATATTGCCCAAGTAGCTAATGAAAATCACAATGATATTGCCCAAGTAACTAATAAAATTTCCAATAACATTGCCAAAGGAGCTAATGAAAATCACAATGATATTGCCCAAGTAGCTAATGAAATTGCCAATGATATTGCACAACCAGCTAATGAAATTTCCAATGATACTGGCCACATAATTTATGAAAATCGCAATGATATTGCCCAAGTAGCTAATGAAAATCACAATGATGTTGCCCAAGTAGCTAATGAAATTGCCAATGATATTGCACCACCAGCTAATGAAATTTCCAATGATACTGGCCACATAATTTATGAAAATCGCAATGATATTGCCCAAGTAGCATATGAAATTTCCAATGATATTGCCAAAATAACCATTGAAAATCGCAAAATGATATCACCCATGTAGCTAATGAAATATCCAATGATACTCGCCAGACAACTAATGAAAATCGCAATGATATGGCTTTGAAAAGATATGAAATTGGTAATGATAACCACAGGCTACCTTATGAGGGAGGCCCAAAACCTTGCCTACACTTAATGAAAAAGCGCAGCCTTTATGATAATGAAAAAACATGGTAACAGTAATGATTCCCTATCATAAAGAGTGTGGATGGATACACAGGGACCTATAGGCAGTTACCTGTTTTATATGATAACTAGTGGTAGCCACTAGTGTGTCGGGTTGGTCTGAAAACGTCTTTGACTTTTGTAAATGCGATCGCATGCAGTTTCTTAACGTAGCCTGAAGAAGCGATGTTATAATGGCGCTTAAAGGTTATCATTAATTGGACTCACCTTCCACCGTAAAAAATACTCTTCCGAACAGTCCGGGTCAAAGAGCTCACGAAACTCGTCTATCTGCTCCGAGATTGACATACTCTGTTCATCCATCGCCCTCTAGCTTACCTTTAACGACAGAGTTCCTGTAGGTAAAAGCAAAATCAGTTGAAAATCAGCGAGGCAATCGATAACGATGAATCGATCAATCGTACGTGGCATGACTCAATGACTCTAGAACAGTAATACTAAGTGGTGCTGAGAAATTTTGTAGTGTTTTGAAG